TCCATAAACCTAACAAGTCACAGCTTGATAATAGGTTTGTTAACAATAAGTTTGATCTTACTCAAACCCTCAAACGCCTTGAAAAATCTGCAGCTAAGCCTGTTACAATTCAAGACCTGCAGGTTGAAATCAGTTCTCTTAAATCTGAGGTTCGTGACCTCAAAAAGAAGCAACAGCTACATGAGACTTTCATATCTCAAATAACTGAAGCTTTTTCCGATAACATGGTTCGGCATGACCATGACAATCCCAGTGATGATCATGAATCTGACCATGTCTCCACTGATGATGATGATACCCTCTTCAACGCTCTGATCAATCATTGTAGCATTCAAAAATTCTATATTGATGTTACTATCTCAGTCGAAGATTTTGTCTTAAAAACAATCGCTTTGTTTGACACCGGAGCTGATTCTAACTGTATTCTGGAAGGACTCATTCCAACCAAATACTTCCACAAAACCTCCGAGAAGCTTAGGACTGCTAGTGGTTCACGACTAGAAATCCAGTATAAGCTCCCATCCGCAATCATTCAAAATGATAATCTCCAGGTTGAAACTCCATTTCTCCTGGTAAAAAATCTTAAGAATGATGTTATCCTTGGAACACCATTCATCAAATCCATTTTCCCTATTAAGATATCTGATGAAGGTATATCTACCCAATATCTAGGAAAAACAATCATGTTCAAATTCCTGAATAAACCTCTCTTTCGTAACATCAATCAGATTGATAGAAAGCTTAATCAAATCAATTTCCTTAAGGAAGAAGTCTCTTTCAAACATATCGAAAGTCAGCTTTCTCAATCCCATATTAAACAAAAGATTATGAGTCTTCATGATCGATTTCAATGTCATGTTTGCTCCGATCATATATATACATATATATATACATGCACACAAACACACACACACACACATATATATATATATATATATATATATATATGGATTTACGATGATATATGTAGATGTGATAAGTTGTATTATGCTAGTCAGCATTTATATGCTATGCGTGAAAATATGTTATAGTTGCATGATTGGAGTGTAAATAGGCATTGGTATGCTAGTTTTGGATGAGGTATATAGCATTGGTATGCTAATTATGATTGGTGTGATTTGATCTGTATATATATTAACCTGGGGTAATGTATATAAATGATGTATGTCGAGGTGTTGATGTTAAAAATGTTTTAGGCATTAAAGCATGTTGATTGACTGAGGGTATTGTTTGAAAGTTGACGATCTCATAGGGAATATTGTTTTCGCCCTCTAAGAGGCCAATTGTTCAAAACCCTCATTAAATAAGTATGAAGCTCAAATGATTGGTGTGATTTGATCTGTATATATATTAACCTGGGGTAATGTATATAAATGATGTATGTCGAGGTGTTGATGTTAAAAATGTTTTAGGCATTAAAGCATGTTGATTGACTGAGGGTATTGTTTGAAAGTTGACGATCTCATAGGGAATATTGTTTTCGCCCTCTAAGAGGCCAATTGTTCAAAACCCTCATTAAATAAGTATGAAGCTCTAAATAACTTCCCATACAACCCTACTTTGGTCAAAAAGCCGTGGGACGTTGCACCTTGTCGTTGAGGCTTTATCTCGGAGAGGAGGTGGGGTGGTGGGTAGTTCATGGGGATGGAGGGTGCACTCATATTGGTGGAAAACAATGATGTTGCAACATTCTTGATTGGGTTGTATACTCTAAGGATATTGCAAAAAAAAATGATGGTTGTCTGTATTGATTTTAATCATAACAGATTACATCAATTATTATGGTATAAAATATACTCACTTTAATTTCTTTTGTAAAAATAGGATTTTTTTTATCACTCTTCCAAACCTTTAACAACAAATTGCAACCGGCATGATCAATTGACACAAAAATTACCATAATGTTCACTCTACAACATCACTACATCATAAACTAACAAAATCTAAATTACATACATTCTAAAATAACAAAGTAAGTTATAATTAAACTAAGTAAATACATCCTAAACTACTTAAATAATTTCTTTACTACCCAAATGAATTCTAAACTACGTACTTAAATATAGTCTAAACTTTATAAATGAATTCTAAAAAGTAAACTAAATAAAAGTTATCTTTAAGTAATCTCAAAGAAAAATTTTGTCCGAAGTTCCCCTAATTGATCAATGTTCTCGAGTCAATGGTTCTCTAGTTTAAATTAATAACATAAAAATATCAAATAATGATTTATTATAACCTAATTTAGTTGTTAAGTTTTAATGTAGCTTAATTTAGATGCTAAGCTTTAATATTCTAGTTTTATTTAAGCTAAGTTTTCGTATAACCTAATTTAGTTGCTAAGTTTTAATATAGCCTAATTTAGTTGCTAAATTTTTATATATGTTTTAATATAGTTTTTATTTAGCTAATTTTTCATATAGCCTAATTTAGTTGCTAAGTTTTAATATAGTTTTTTTTTCATATAGCCTAATTTTGTTGCTAAATTTTAATTTAGGCTATATAGGGAATCTAAAATTAGTTAACATCAAACCACTAGCGAAGGCAATGTCATTAAACAAGCCAATCTAAACTAAGTTTTAAGGCCTTTTAACAAAATTCTTCCGAGAGTCATTTAATTTTAACTTACAATTGAGTAGTATAGATGTTTTTATTCCTATACTTTTTTTTCTCTTTTGAATCTAGCTAACCCTTACTTGTTTCTATGTGATTCGTATTGTGATAATCATACTTGGTGTGATAATAGAACAGGGATAGATTGCAGAGGGTTGTAGTAGAGGGCTTCAAGTGGATAATGGTGCTTGGATGTTTTTGTATTATTCTCTTGTAGTGGTTGTATAATTTGTATTTAATTTTTATTGAATAATTGTACTTATACTATTTATATTTGTATAGTTGTGTTTACATGTATATTAGGGTGATCAGAGGTTGAGTACGATTGTTTTCGAGTCAATATAACGCAAACCGATATAATCCACAAATTGTATTATTTAGACCTGAACTTGACCAGATGACTTATCAGTTTAGGTAGGTTTCGGTTTGAGTGGGTATCGATTTTAATGGACGATTTTCTACGAATAAAGGTGTATTGGACTTTGAATCATTTAATTGGTCCAAATAAAGTTTTTTATCTAATTTATTATCTTTTTCTTTTCAATTCTTGCATCTTTTTTAATACATTCAGCCATTCAAATATTATTTAGTTCGTTTAGAGTCAAAATGAATAAATTATTCAAGTTTCAAATAATTTAAATATTATAATAAATTTTTTTAAGTATATGATATAAAAAAGGAAGTATGGTCAGATTCATGATCATCACTGGGATTGTCATGGTCATGCCGAACCATGTTATCGGAAAAAGCTTCAGTTATTTGAGATATGAAAGTCTCATGTAGCTGTTGCTTCTTTTTGAGGTCACGAACCTCAGATTTAAGAGAACTGATTTCAACCTGCAGGTCATGAATTGTAACAGGCTTAGCTGCAGATTTTTCAAGGCGTTTGAGGGTTTGAGTAAGATCAAACTTATTATTGACAAACCTATTATCAAGCTGTGACTTGTTAGGTTTATGGAGGATTGTCTTGAGCTTTTCAAGATATTCATTTCTTTAATGGACTGCTAAAATTTTGTTGTTCAGTGCTTTCTTGTCTTGTTGAGAAGTTTTGGGCCTTTTCCTTGTCAAGTTATTCTCATGCCAGTATTGAAGGCAATGTCTTAAAACTGTTCACTTGATCACTTACTAAATTAGATTTTGTGTTGATATCACCGGAAGATATAGTGACAAAGTGATGGTTCATCCAGTGAAAACTTTGTATATTTGTTATTTACTCTTCCATTAGTATTAGTGTCATATTCTCCATTAGATAAGTCAATTGGATAGCCTAGAGATGCATTCATGCATTGTCAGTTAGATACAGCAGATGATAAGTCTAACGAAAAATGCTGTATCCTCTGACATGCTTATGCAGAATAATCCTTCAAACCATTAAAAATTGACATCGTGAATTGATTTTGAACAAAATATTAATTTAATTTAACATATGTCAATGTTTAACGCTTCGGAGGATTATACAGCCACTCCATTTTGGAAGCCGTAGCATTTCTCGTCTCTAATTGTTGTGTGTATTTGGAATCCCAGTAATTCGTGAGGATGGACCTAGGCCTGTTGCTTTTGCCAATTACTTCAAAAGCCGAATACAATTTTTAGTTTTTTCTCCTTCCATTAGAAATCTTAACATTCAACTCATTAAGCTTGTTTTTTACTCAACTGCAAGGTGCAATATCATGCACTCAATGCAAAGGTACTGGAACAATATCTTAAACTCAAATACTTTATTCATGTTCACCAATTGACCCCTCAAATAACATGTATAATCAACACAATCTACACCCGACACAACTTACCTTGCACCCAACACCACTAAGATAGGGAACTTTCTACCTCACCCATGCCCGATCTAATTGAGGTAGGAAACCCCTAGGACCTCATGCCTAATGTGGCAAAATCCACGCTCAACCTCATGTCAAGCAAATAACCTCTGCTTAACTCACACTCGGTGTCACCTTATTGGCACCTGACATTGTTTAGGTAGAGAGCTTCTGTGTGATCATGCTTAGCACCACCTAAATGGGGTCCAACTTCACTAAGTCAAAGAGTTTCCATTGCTCTCACACCCGACTCCATTCAAACCACGCCCAATGCCATCTCAACTCGAAACAAGTCTTTCTCCTCACGTCCAATGTCACCGATCCTGCACCTAGTGTGGATGAGACAGAGACCTTTGGTTGAAACTACACCCAATGTCACAAAGGTGTGCTTGGTGCGATATTAGAAATTTACAAATGTAGACTTCAAAAATTTCCTCAATCCACATGAAACACAAGAATCTCCAACATGTAACATATAAACAAGTATATAGCTACTTCAAACAACCTAATTCCAAGACTAAAACACATATGTAATCACCAAAATAATCAATTAATCATTTTTCCACTCTTTCACCAAAACCCAACCAACACAACATTTAATCCCATTCCATTCAAAATTACAACAATCAACATACAACTCAACCAAAATCATCCAAAAACAATCCTAGTTTTTCTTACTACAACTTCAGGCTAAAATGAGATAGGAGAAGAAAAGATGAATGACTTCAAGCTTCTGAGCTCCACACTCAACGCTACACACCACTTTGATTCTCAGCCTTCAAATGCTTTGAATCCAACACCCAACAACAATCCTCATGCACTAGAGGAATCTATGAGGAAGAAGAGAAAAGAAAGAAATTAGTAACCAGAGTTTATATCACTAGCTAGATTTCTCTCTCTCTAGATTTTGAAGAATATAAACTTATGAGACTTAGTTCTTAATAAAAACCTTATATGTCTCCTCTCATCAAGATCAATTAGACATCAAGCCAAAGACCTCATTCATAAAGCTCCACAACACACCTAAAGTGCCTCACACACAATTATCTCTAAAAAGCCAATAATTAAACTTAAAATAATGTTACATGTATAGATACACATAATTTTAGCATTGATTTTGAGCAAAAGTCAATAACATATATTATGTATAACTATGGTCTATACTAACATTTTTTTTAACAATATATCAACACATTATATTTATTGTATACGTAAAAGTAATTTTTAGTAATAAACATTGTATCATTATAACATGAGTTGCAATTTTATTTTCTAGTGTCACTTTTTTATTTTATTTTTCTCTTCATTTTTTATTATGTCATTTGTAACAATATTTTTTTTTTTAC